GAACACTCAACTCATTTCCCACATTTCCCACCGAACACACATCCATTTTGCTCTCAAAAGTCATTCAAAGATTCTCCCAATCTTCAAGTATTCTCGCCCAGATCTTCATCCAATATTCAAATCTTCATACTTTTCCAAAGAACATTCATAAGTCCCTTCATATATTTAAGTGTTTCACCAAGAACACCAAGAACACACACCACCAACATCTTCACACCGAAAACACCCCCAGCCCCACCGAAAACTCTATTTTGCCCCTGAAAACATCCTTCAACATTTCCAATTATTCCAAATTAATTTTTGTAAGTGTTCCTTACATGATTCATTGTTTAACACATTATTTAAATTGATATTTTATTAATTTAAATACGACGTCGACTATAATTATTTTTAGGATAATGTTATTAGCGTGTACGCTTACCCGAGGATCGTTTCTACAAGCTCGCTAATTCAAACACAAACGCACATTCGAGGTGAGTTCATACCCCTACATTTTCAACGTTTTTAATATTTTTAGGGGGGGATACAAGTAAAAAAAATAAGGACTTTTGTGTTTATTCAAACATTTTTAAATAGTTTTAAAACCTCGGCAATTGTTTCAAACCGAGTATTCGCTACATTTCCTATAAGTATTTCATATATATTTAACCCTTTTTTAATATGTCGAGCATATAGGTAAATTGCTTTTATACAAATAAATTGCAACTCTTTACATTACACTATAGAACATTATAGTAAAACTATAATCAGTAGAGTTTGAGATTCACTACACTATTTTGCTAAGTACAATACACGGAACAAGAACATACAATCAAAACTATAATCGGTATAGTTTGGGGAACACTACTCTAATATATTGATACAAGTATACACTATTAAAATAATTATTTAAGTATAATTATTTTTCACTACAAGGTACATTAATACAAGACAATACATACAATTTTTAATACAAGAGAATACTACAACACTACAATATTGCACGTAAACTAGTTAATACAGGGTTGTGAGGCACTACTTCAATTGTACCCCTCAGGGTACGAAACCAAATCATATACAGTATAACCATAGTTTCCTGGAGGGAGAGCATGAGATTTGTGTATAGATCTATACGGGACTAACAACCCCACACCTGAACTGCTAGCTACAGTTAGGCCGGTAGGCTTGGGGTGACAAATGTCATAACTTTCAGACGCCTGAAGAACGTCGTAGGGGTCACTAGGTCATATCAAGCATGGTTATATGAAACTCAGAACAGTATAACTAACACATATGGTTACGGGATTAACACTACTTCAGTTATTTTATTTTAGTTAATAAAATTACAGTACTCTATGATACACTACTTTACACTACAACTGGTGCTATCCAGACATTTATACAAGGGTTTTCATACAAATACAGTTACAATATACTATTTTCTAGTACTAAGTACACCACTACAGTATAGATTTCTAAGGAACATACATGACTACATTACATTCACTATAGAAAATATTGGATTTCTGGAGAAACATACTAGCATTTTCAAAGTACAAAGATGAATCTTCCATCACTAAAACATACTTATGAACTCACCAACTTAAATGTTTATACACTTTCAAACTCACATGTATTCTCAGGAAACCAGTAGACAGGTACACCGCATGATTTTGAGAAGACGAAGCTTTATAAAGTCGCGTCTTTTATACTTTTGTTATACCTTTTGATGTCATACAAACTATGTTATGAACAGATGTAAATACTATATTTTATCAATGTAATGGTTGTGTTTGCTTTGAATACTATTATACAATGGTTGTGATACTGTACATGACGTTCTCCGCCCCCAAACGTGTCCGCCGTTCCAGTTTGGGGGTGTGACATTCTAACATGATAATATCTTATATTCTTGAAACAGAGATATATGAGTTGTAATTTACAAGTCGGTTGTCCACTGGTATTGCGAAAACACGCCAGTAACAAGACGTTATAAAACGCAGTATCATGTATGGTTTGGTGAGTAAACGATACAAGCATATAAGTCGAAGTTTATTCTTTCCTTTTTCCCTAATGGGAAAAGAGATATCTTTGGGTCCCTCAGTGATTTGGTGTCGACTTATAGTGTTGGGCCCAACCAGGACTCGATTGATGAGTTCAATTTGAAGTAATATGTTGTCATCGCAAATCAGAAAATCAGGAAACAAAACTTAGACAATGAGATTGATTCTAATCCATGTCTCATGTATATATGATATCTTGTAGAATGGAGGAATATTTGATCACTTATCTTAGGACCAATGTCTGTTCAGTTAAGAGTTCGGCAGTTGCTATGGAAGCACTCTTTTCTGTCTAATTTAGAAGTTATACTGGTAATTACAGTTATAGACTTATCCAAGTGGGAGACTGTTGGATTAGGTGTCTAAGCCAATAATGGAATTATTATATACTTGAATTATTAGCAAAGTCCTTTTGGGTTGCCCTCAAACCTAGTAATTGAATAGGATGACTTTTAGAGAGAGAGAGAATGATTTCTTGGATTAATTAAAAGTACAGGGGTCTAATTGTAATTATATAATAGTTAAGTAAGAGGTTCCAGAACCTTCTCTAAAGAATTCTTTGCCATTTCTCTTATGCGTTCAAATTCATCATACTGCAAGATTAAAGATTGAGATTTTTTTTAAAAAAATGAATAATTGTAATGTTTTATTGAATTTAGAGTAAAATATGATTAGTTTTATTACAGCTCCTTCTTGCTTTGCAGATTCATAACGGTTACAAGCATAAAAGTCACCAGTTCTCTCGCCATGATGTGACCATTGACCAAGGCAAACCCTACATTTACAGTTTTATAAAGTTATCAGAATCATCAATAGACTTAATTTTATAAACTATAAACTTTAAGTTTCTAAATGTACATAACAAACAATATGTTGGAATAACTCATTCCATTCCCCTTTCGTGATTCCATTCCATATACTAAACAAAATAACATAAATCTTACCGGAAAAACTCGTATTTGCATGGAGGGTTGCAAGTCATGTGCATACAACCTTGATTATTCTCAATTGGACGCTTGCATTTTGGACAAGGCTTAGAATTTGCTAGAATCCTGAAAAATCATTATACAAACATCAAAACAAGAAAGATATATACAGAGAGAGAGAGAGAGATATAAACATGTAACAAGGGTGAAGGGATAGTTTAGACATTTACCAATTCATATTGACCATGTCCACACCAACAACAGCACCACAAGACAGAATTGGGCATCTCAAAGTCAAATATGCAGGACCATTATTGATAGATGTGCTAATGTAAGCTACCAGAATAAATAAAAACATTAAAAGAAACAGAAATCAGGATACCAATTATAAACATGTAAATGTATAATGAGATGAAAACAGAGAGCATTGTATTATCAATACAAACCTGCCCAACATGTGTTACAGAAAGGATGACCACAAGCAGCAGTGCTAACACTATCAACTGTATATGATTCAAAGCAGATCCTACAAGGAAGCTTCAAAAGATACAAAAAATCAAAGATAAGGATTAAAAACTCCACTAAACATTAACTTATTTACCATTTTACCCTAACTTACCACTCCAGCTTTTGGTGGATTGATATTGGTATTACCCAACATGCCAACAGCTTTACGAACTGCATCTTCATTGGCAAACCATGCTTCATGAACATTGCGAACATTCCTGCAGGGTTAGATAGCAACTTGTTAGATAGAAGAAATTGTTAATCTTGATACAAAACTATTTGTTATTCACAAAAATTAAACAATTTACCAGTTAAAACAGTGCAAAAGCATGCATGCAGAATCTCTTGAGATTGATAGAACTGAAGAGATTCTAGTGATATCATCCTCCTGGCATTGGTGTATGTCATCTTCCTTCAAGATAGTGTAATTCTTCTGAAATACAAAACAATAAATGATAAAGCTTGGATGGAGGCAAGAGCGAACAGATAGAAAACAATATATGTCGACAATTTTTTGTCATAGAAGTTAACCAAAACAATATTAGAACAGAAAACAGAGAAATCGACACCAGGAAACAATGTCTTAGAACCAACTCATCATCGAATCATTAGCTAATAAAACCACCGAAGCCTTGTTATATGATGAACTTGGAATGATTGAAACAGAAGAGGGTAGTGATGCATAAAAGAAAATCCCCAAATTTAATAGTAAAATTGCATCCAATCGGACGAATAAAAAGTTTGAGAGTAGAAATATATATTCGGTAAAATTCGATTACCTGTTGCCGACTAACTGATACATCATCGGAATCATCAGAAGTGTTATCCAAAAACTCATACCCAACATCATCATCATCATCGTTGTATTCCGCATCGCCGCTATAGTAATCTTCTTCATAAGAATCAACATCGTTCGTATAAAACTGTCTCCTAACAACAGCACCAGGTGGGATCATCTCCTTAATAGAAGCACCATATGAGACCGTACGCGTCGATTGAGTCAATATAATTCATCACAGAACAAAAATTTCTATTCAATTCAGAGAAACTAATCAAAGTTGTTATAAGCAATAATGGAAAAGTGAAGAAATTGTAGGTGTTACACGAAAAATTAAGATATCAGGGAAGAAGAAGAAGAAGAAGAAGAAGAAGAAGACGAAGACGAAGACGAAGAGAATGTTAAATAGGAACCCTAGGTTCGCTCACAATTTGTCCCAGATAATTGTAGTGAACTATCGATCTAAATCAAAATGGAAGAGAATGTTGCTTAATTTCTGACTGATAACTATAAATGAACGTGAAATCGAAAGAAAAAGAAAACCTAGATCATCAATAAGAATGGAAGACTGACCTGACGATGATCGTTATCATCGTCGTCGCGGGGCATTTGATCACAAAAGCAAGAGCATTTATGCTATGAAGACGAAGGCCCTAGGGCTTTTTCTTGCTAATTGGAAGAGGCGGGGGGTTTTTATTTTTGGGATCCAATAGGCGGGTGAAATCCCGCCTTAAAACACGTGTTTCATTAAAAAATTATAAAGCGACACACTTAGATGACACACATTTTATGAAAGGCGCCCTCCGCATTTCCTTTTTTTTATGATACTAATTTTAGGGCACGCACCAATGCGTGTCCTCTATCCTTCAAATTTTGCAAAAGTGACATTATTGTTTAGGGCACGCACAAATGCGTGTCCTCTATCAGCGCGTGTCATTGTTTGTGCGTCATTAAAGGGCTGTTTTCTAGTAGCGAGTGAAGAGAATAGAAGTATTGATGCTATCTTCACGGTATTGTAATCTCTCTTCACTTTTCTTCTTAAAATATTTATATAGAGTGATTTGTAGATGGTAGAATGTATACATAAAGTATAATTCTTTTGAATATGGCTTGTACGAAACTTGATGAGAAGAAATAGAGAAACATGGATACATTGTTGATTGGAATTTGATTTGTTTAGGGTTTTTTTGTTACTGTTTCTGGATGTTGTTCATATCGAAAACCTTATCAATTATGGAGTATACTCACAAAAAAACATAAGAGTTCTACAAATAAAAGCTTAAGGAATGTCATTCGTTTGGAATCGACTAAAGGCTTCCAACCCCCGCAAAGCGGATAACCTTCACTAATTATTTTAATGTAAAGAATCAAATATATCAAAATTAATAACTTTTTATTATTTATAAATAAACATGCATATGAATAGTTTTGTTTTTATATAAATATATCTTTTTGTTTTATTTTGAATCAATTTTCATTAATTGTATTATTTACATGTGATTTTTATTATTGTCCATTACTCCATTTGTCATGCTTTGATAATCCATATGTCAAAGACATCTTCTTGATTTACTTATTTGATAAATTACGTCATTGAGTATTGAATCTTATTTTGCACTTGTCTAAAACCTTTACGCGTATATTGTTTTGAGGCATTCTTTCCCATTTCAAGAGTACTTATCATCTTCGGAAATTTGTCAACGTCTTAGAAGCTCTCTAATACATTTTGAATATGCCTTTGCTTTTCCATTGACATCTCAAAAACGATTATAAAATTCACCGATATTGTTCCATGTTTTGTAGATTGTTGAAACCATGAATTTGGACTGTCTGAAGAAGAGTTGTTCTTATTAGACAAGACATTGTTACCATTTTGAAAAACATTTTTTTTTCTAAAACCTTCACAAACGAAACATATCCTTAAGCCATTTGTTATCAATCAAATTATAGTCATTCATTAAGGTGTTTCAACCTTATTCAAATTGATTCATCTCAATCTTATAATTTCATATTAAAAAATGAGTTTTATTTTAAATTCTGAAATATTATATATCTCCCAACTAACTTTCAAAATATAGTAGTATGAGTACTAATATGGTAGACGATATTTAATATATTCACTACTACAAAAAGCGTCATAAGACCCGGCAATTAGGACCCGGTTTTGGGGAAAACCGGGATATATTATGAAAAAAAAACGGGTTCTATAAGAGAGATTGTAATATGACCCGGTTTAAATTAAGAACCGGGACATATACTAAAATTAAATAAGCCGATTTTGATTCATTGAACCATTTCTTATAACCTTCCAATTATATGACTCGTTTTAAAACATAGAACCGGGCCTTATTCTCTTGCCCTAGAGAACAACTATACATCCTAATTCTTTTTCATCAAGTTTTTACACATTTATGAAAAAACATTTATTACTCCTTTTTCATATATATTAGACTTGTACACACCATGTGTCTTATACAAACTTTCAAACACAAGTCATACTAGGAAGCCATATGACCCGTTTCCAACAACCAAGTGTTTTTACTTCATTTAGAAAATGCAAATG